TAGAACTAGAAGGTGTGTCGTATCTACTCGTAAATGAAAATGCTGAATGCTTGCTTACACGTATACCACGTAGCTTTTTCGTCTAAGGATGGAACAAACTGCATACATATTCCATACGAGCAGCATTCGTCAGATCTAGTGTATCTTGATAAGTGAACAGGCCAACGCCTAAACCACCGAGCCAACCAATATATCAGCTAGAATAAAGAAATCTTGCGAGATTCACTCTTATCATCACCGAATATATCTCTGCACTCTCTCAACAGAAAATCTTGCTACTCAGTTTATCTCAACATACATTCGTGTTTGGACAGTCTCTCTCTCTCTCTCTCTAAACAGAAAATCTTGCTGGTCACTCCCTCTCTCTCTCAACAGAAAATCTTGCTACTCATTCTATCTCAACAGAATATCTTGGTGGTTACTCTCTCTCTCAACAGAAAATCTTGCTACTCATTCTATCTCAACAGAATATCTTGGTGGTTACTCTCTCTCAACAGAAGATCATTCTAATTACTATAAGTATACAATCTCGAATAGCGCCTTCATCTTTTGACATTCAAGTAATACGAAACAGAGGCATCCGGAAGCGCCTTCTCACAACATTTAGTGCGAAACTGACAGAGGCATGATCCATCCCTTCCTTCTTCCGACATCATGAAAGGTAGCCGTAATTGCCTCGCCGTACGACTTGGGTGATTGGCTTCCTGTTGCCTTAAAATATTCATCCTGAGACAACTGCATTTCGGTTTTCTTCGCTAACAACAGATCTTTTCAGATAGTCCCCCCCTCTTTCTGCATATCTTAGCTACGAGCATCGAGCTGAACTATTGAACTAGTTGTTCAATGATAGAAATACGAGCGCAGAGCAGTGGATACTTGGCTCCAGCAGAGTCACTGCGGTGAACTATCCATGAATTGCGTCCAGCAGAGTCATTGCGGCAACGCCTGTAAACGACGAACGCAAGGCAGCCTACGCATCTCCCATTGTCATATCTTTTTATCTCAGGAAGTGACACGCTGTATACAACACAGAGACGCAATCATATCATATATTGTTTCGCGGGATAGTCCTAGAGTTTCTAGAGGTGAAAACTAGGATAGGATAGGACAGGATAGGATGCCTTCACAACGCCTGCACGACAGGTGGTGTTGACGAATGATCGGCTTGTCTTATCATATTATAGTATGTGCTGAGTATACTTATCATCCATGATCCAAGGGAGCTATGGTGAACGTAACGGACGAGCGGGCATCTATGGGATGAATTTATCACGATCCAAAGGAGCTATAGTGAATGTAAATATCATGACCCAAACCTATGACGTAACGGACGCCCCGGTCCGGTCGTTGGGAAAAAAAAGTGAAAAGGAAAAAACAAAAATATACAACTACAACTTACTACAACATGAACATTATTCAATAAAGGCACAACGGATTCGTTGAACTTTTGGATTCTTACTTCACGCAATGACACTTCCCGATCGCGTAGTAGTACCTCCTAATTCTTTTCGACGTTGATGAAGGTCGTGTGCGCTAGGAAGTTTTGAGTGGCGTCTCCTGGTAGTGGTGCCTCGTCCTAGTTCTAGAGGAAGATCGTGTGCGCCATGAGGTTTTCAGTCAAGTTTTGAGCCTGAATCGACGCTATAGATCCAGGGCCACACGCAGAATGTTCTCCAAGCTGCCAGATGTATCTTAGAAGTAGCCAAACCTGCGCATATTAGCATCAAATACAATCATGAGCGGAAGCCTGTGTTGCCTATGGTGCTTAAGTTAGGTTAGGTTAGGTGTGGGCCTACCAGGCAAACTGGCAGACGTTAAGTTTTAGTATTAGTTACTAATACTATGAGGAAATTAAAGCCCATGTAACCGATTGTTTCTATTTCTACATTTCTTATGGCGATGACGTTTTTTCTATCCAGGCAGAATGAACATCGAGGCTGCCATTTTCCCCTTAGAAACGTGAGGGCCTCGACGGTCGTAATGCTCGATTAAAATAATAGTGGATGTTCTCCTCCTCCTACTACTGCTACAACTAATTCACCTAAACCCAAACCCGGTATCATAATTCATGTTTTTGCGAGTACGGATGCAACTACGATATGCGGGAAAAAGAACAGGTTGTCTTACAACTTACTTAGTGCTTCGAGCCATACTTCACATTTTTACAGAGAAACTCTCCATATTCATGTCTTTACCATAATTCACGTTCTTGCAGAGAAACTCTCCATACTCGTCGAAATTCCGATCCGAACCAGTGCAAAGCAACCGAGCTGCCAGTGCTTCACTGCTATTTCCTCCGCAATATGAAGACGAAGAGAGCAGCATAGGATGCGATAGGATAAGATAGGAGGTGACAACATGCCGTCCACAGTTTGCACTGTATCCTCAGCCATAGAAGGTTTTCTTCTTCTTGAGTACATTCAATCACTTCATAAGCTTTCGATAATGAGCTGTTTCATGTACCGCGTCTTTTGTTCCATTTTTTTCTTTGCTGTGCAGGTTAGAGTAGACAGAGCTGTGTCATGTTGTATGATGTAATCAGGTAGACCTTAGACAAAAAAATCCTGTATGAAGTAGTCACGTGATGATGTGAATCGATTTGGCAATCTGCCTAAGATTTCCCTGACGCTTGAAATGAGAACTATAATTGAAAACCGTGTTTAATGAATCATTCATTTGTAAAATAGGAACTACAACTGAGTCCCTGATTAAAAATGCTTTCTCCTTCGTTGCCTTAACGAAAGCTGTTTCATTTGATCCACGAGGAAAAGCTCCTCGCGTCCTAGTTGCAGCATCTCCTTTCGTCCAACTTTGCGCTTCGCTTCTAGCTGCTCCTTAGATTGGTGAAGCATGGTCATCCCAGGCCATGAATACTTCCACTCATTGAGAAAGTCGATAGGGGAATGTCGTTCCCCTCCTGTGGCCCCTTCATATTTAGGTGGAACGATGTTCCCATATCTTCGCTCTCCATGAGCGGCGTCATACATGTCATGCCATGGTGCCTATTGGATAGGATAGGAGTTGACTCGCCGTCCACAGTTTGACCTGCACGGTGCCTCTTGTGTAGCTATTAATGTCTACTTTTGAGGTGATCCAATATCATAGTACCTCCACAGTGGAGAGCTACAATGCCGTTTCTACGAAAACAAAAATCATGAGGTACAAGGACTACAGAAGAAGCAACAAGACAATAGATCGCCAAATCACATTCTTGCATGAACCGAAGAAAGAGATGCATACTGAGCGAACTGAAACGGATTCATTTGAGAAGAAAAAGAAAAAGAAGACTAAGTTTAGATTAGACTAGGATATTCGATTAGATTAGATTAGATTAACTAAGTACTTTGAATTCAAACTACTGCAACTATAACTCTTACCCTCTACTTTCTTAGTAGAGTAAATAACAATATGATCTACTTGAGGCATCAATTAGTGAACTTAGAGTGATATGTGATGAAAGACGAAGTAAGAGCAGCATAGCTTTGATGAGTGAACTTTCTTAGTGGAGAATCAAGAACTTCAACTTGCTTTCTAGAACTTCGAAGACGCAATCCCTAATTTGTAAGTCGAAGAGACTTGAAAATTCCACACCGAGCACTGTGGTCGGGCAGGCAACGCAAAGCAGACCCACCACCATACATGCCCCTGTTACCACGCGACCGAAGACCGTAATAGGTTATTAGATATAGGATGTATGCCATGTTGGGATCGGGCCATTATTACATAAAATGGAATATTTCACACTCACCTAGTAGTCCTCCTACTAGTAGGAGATCATCTGAAGGTCGTGAAGTTGGTAGCCTACTAGATCTTGTTAAGGTCGTGGTGACTTAAAGTAATGGGTGAAAATTTTAGAACGTGGGGACATCTTCTCGAGTCTAGGTAGAGATATTTTCTAACAAGCAAATAAGACATCAATCAACGAACAATCTGGTGAAGTTTAACAAGCAACTGAGACAATCAACGAGTCTGGTGATGAATCGAGTCTGGTGATGAATTAGAAAAAAAAACTACAATCAGCTTTGAGACCAGAGGCAGAGCCTAGGAAACTTTCTGCCAACCATTAGTGTCATACAAATCCAGAAAGTTTATGTCATAAGGAAAGGCATCCCCATATCCGACAGTGGTGATAGTCGTGACGGCCCAGTAGAACCCAAGTGGTACGTTTTGAAAAGGACTGCATCCGCTATAGTGTGGCTCGTTTGCCCGTGCATAACAACCCACATTAAAGTCAACAGATGAGGAGGGTCCCTCCTGGAGGGAGCGAGAACGTGAAAGACGAGGGAAAACGTAAAAACCACTTGTTCTTTCTCTAAAGAGTCAGATGAGGAGAGAGTCAGATCAGGAGGGAGACTGACGAGGAAACCAAACTTAGCGGTGCTTTGATCATTGCCTTTGCTTTGGCACGAACCATATGTCATTGTTATTGATAGGAATATTCTTTGTCCTTTGAACGAAGCTCTAGTCCAGCAGTGGTAGTGAATAACGTAACCGTGAGGTAGAAATGGCGCCCTCTATTATGCATCGATATGGCACGACCGAGCACCGTGCTCGGTCTGAAAATCAATAGCAAAATGATAGAGCTAGTCGAAAAAGGTAGAGAAAAGCGTCAAGGAGGTAGAGGCAGCTAATCAGCAGTGACTTTGGAGGGCCTCAACCACTACTCATGAAATCTAGATCATTTTGAAGAGCCATAATCAGTTCTTCATTCCAGTTTCCACGTTCTGTCGCAAACATGAGAAAAGAGAAGAATACCTGAACAAGGTATAGAACAGAAGATGAGGAGAATCAAGGAGGTTTTCTTCTTCTACTTCGGATTTTTTCACCTCTTCTGCTTGGCATTTTCTTCTTCTACAATAACTCAGACTGCCAAAAGGGCGGCATATAGGCACGGCACACATTTCTCTAAAGTAACCAACCCTGCACCAAGTCGTGAACGAATCGGAAACAAGTCTTTTCATCTACAAGAAAAAAACACGGTTGTCTGGTGCACTCGACACCCTGCTTGGTCCTTTGGCCTGCATGGGATGTATGCTTTAACCTGCATACTTATGATGTACTTATGCCGCATAGACGTGCAGGCGGATCTGATGATGTAACTGAATACCAGTGGTAATGCAAAGACAATGATGCAATTTGATACATTTGAGTACCAGTGGTAATTAGAGGTAGCATTTCATTATCTTCCAGCGCTGGACGATTCCCTGAGTTTTCCTCTTCTACTACATTCCCTCTGTCGTAGTTAATGTTGATGTTCTTCCTCTCTACCAGAGTAAGTTGGCTCTCCTTGCTTCCCTGCTCTACGAGAAAGATCCACTGCCCACTCCCACGGACTTCTATAGATACGCAACGTCACCGCATATTAACTGACTTCGATCTCATAGTCAGTTTTTGACCAATTTCACTTCCAGCTGGGAGAAGACTTCGTAGGACACTCAGGAAAGGTCATGAGATGATGGTCACGTGGGATAATGAAATACTTACTCTTAAGCTAAAGCAAGGAAGCCGAAAAGCATCAGAAAAGCCGTCGTGCTCTGCATCATCCCGCCCACAATCAAATTTATGTCTTGGCTATAGCGTCCAAATCTTTAGAGAAGTTAAACCTGTCGTGATGTTAATACGTAAGGAACAAGTAGAGTGCTTCGCAAGAACTTATTGTTCGATTGAGAAATAGTTGCACTAGAAGCCCCCCAAGAGTGTAAAATACAATGGATGTTTACAACTCCGACCTCATGCTGGTGACTATGTCACTTTCCCTTCCTTATTATCCTCAGGCCTACAACGACTACGTCGCTTTATGTACCCTTATTATCGTCCTCAGGCTTGCCACGACTACGTCACATTTTATAAGTACCCTTATTATCGTCCTCAGTCTTACCACGACTACGTCACTTTTTTTTATACCCTTAAAACTTGAAGACCCAGAAGAGTCGCACCACTCGAAGAAAACGCTGATCGTGCATGACTGTTTGCGCCAATATCAGATGGCTTAGAGTGCCCCCCCTTGACGATTTCCACGCGCTGATCCAACGCCAAATATAATCTTCAGTACTGACTATCCTATAAAAAAAAGGTAATCTCGGCTGAATGTCACCAAAAAAGGTAATCTCAGCTGACTGGTGAAAAAAGGTAAAATCTTCCTTGACTGGCACAATTCTTAACTGTATCCAGGTAGGTGCAATCGCCAACAAGTCCACGAGGTTTAACGGTGCCAGCAAGAACTCGCTCAGCGGCCGAGACGTAACGCATACCCGATGAAATTAGTGTTTGTACCGTGTCATCGAAGCGGAGGGACCAATGCCAAACATAAGATTCCTCCCACGGTTCATCATTCGTGAGTATATAAACCACATTTGGCTATTAGCAAGTGTATTAGTATGAATGAAGAATCTTCGTGAGTGTATTAAGGAGATAAAAAGAATACTAGCTTCCATCAAGTAAGATCCATCTACCCAATTGTTATAAGTAGAGTTTCATAATGAGAATATACCTAGGACTTTTCAAACAAGTCTAAATTTCATAAACGAGATACTCGATCGAGAAGAGCGAGACGACGAAGATCTCTGCAGCTTCCCAGTAATGAGCGTGGGAACTAAGTTGAGGCACCGTTTCCATACAGAAAGTGACCGTTGATACCAAGATGCAGTTGTACTTAGAACAAGATCAAAGCGTGACTGTCGATACCAATGTCATGTCATGGCACCTCTTGTCCCTTCCTCTATTTTGTTGTCCTACTGTCGACACGCCTGGAACATCGAATCATTGAGCGAGGAACCGAGAAGACGCCGGCAAAATCTACAAATGAAGACTAATTTAAAGGTTGCAGAATTACATTCTTCAGAACATCCCTCACCTCTTTCCTACTGGAAAAAGAGTGAGGAATGGTTGTGGGGGATGTAATTGGTTAACCCTTAACTAATGGTGTTGATGCAGTACAGCTGCGTCAACACCATTAGACTTCGTTGGTTGTAGATTTTGCCGGTATAGCAAAGCATACAGATCATTTGCCACACAAGTTCGTGTTACCCGAGTGAGTCAGCAGACACTAGAAGCCATCGACGTAGGTAGTACAATAACCGCTATAAGTGAACAAGAGGAAACCTTATTTCTCAATGAAATTGGGTGCATTTCTGTGAGACGTGGTTCGACGTTCTTAATTTTTTTTTATTTTTCTCAATGAACTACAAGTGAAACTTTCGTACCACCAGTTCTTAATTTTTAGAAAGGAGCTACTGGAAATGTTCCCATTGCAAAAATGAATGTCGCCCGTTCAAATTGCAAAAATGCACGTCATCCATTGCTTGGTACTCGTTGTATCCTTGGTACCTACGTATCCTTGATATGATGTTGTCATGCTCAATCGTATCCATGAAGAGACATCAACATCGTCACATCTATAGCAGTCATACTTCAACCTCACCCAGGCCATTGCTCGCAGAGGCAGAAGATACGCCATAAGTTACACCTAAGATACGCCATAAGATACACAAAACTTAGAGCTTTATCCCGAGAAACAAGTCCATCTTCAACGCCATGGTGATGCTCATGGAAGGTGTCTTGGTGTCTGTGTAAAAACATCGTTTTCTCCTCTTTCATCTTGTTCTTCTACAACAGATGAACAATTTGCTCCTCTTTCTTGTTCTTCTACAACAGGTGGAGCTCAGTTGGAGATGGACTACTTCCAGATACTCCCAGAGTCGTAAATACAAGTGTGCCATCGCTGATCGTCCTCGAGAATTTTTTTAGAAGACACAAGGAATTGAGCCGAAGATCAAATAATCTTCCAAGTTGGTACACAGAGGCCACACATCTATCACAATGACAAAAATACTTTCTTTCATTCCTGATTCGTTCTCGCCATTCGCATTGTGAGTACAGTGTTCACACACCTCTCTGACTCTGCCATCTATCTAACAACTACTACAACCCGAAACTTCTAACCCGTATCGCATCTGTAGACACTGGTACTTGTTTCATAAAATTTTCAACTTTCTTCATTCCGCGATAGCGCCACCATGAGAGCCAGTACTTGTCGGCGTTCCTATTCTGAATCCTCGCCGCGTGCCTATGCAGTGCAAGACTGGCGGAAACGGTCATCTTTTTCTTCTCTACTTTTCGTTAAAATTGTACACGACGGACAGCACTTCTCAACAAAAGTCTACCATCAGGGCATGACCCATTCTGTGGTTGCCTTTTTCTCTAAATCTAAATGTTACACTTCTACGCCATTTCTAAGCTTTAAAAGCTTAGAATTGATGGCATAAACTGCCACCAACCAATTAGCGCGGAAAGCGCCGAAGACGATCGATCGCCCGACCTCAAATTAACCAAGATTTAACAAGTGAAATCGTAATTTTTACTTTGCCAGGATCGTGAATAAACACTGAGAAAGGTCTTCCCTCCAAGGTCCTGCGTCTCTTCCCTTCTCTCATCTCTCCATTCTCTCGTCTTTCCTCTCTGTGTCTTGACAACCGATTAGGAGAGTGCCACTGCGCGTAACCGAAAGCTGCTGCTCCCAGCTGCTGATCTCAGATATCGATCATTAACTGCAAGTACTTAGCCAATGTGATTGAATGAAAGATTCAACTTAACAGATTCAGATTCCGACTCTTGCTGACAGATAGATAGTCCTTGACAGGACGAGATAGCAACCAAATCTTTCTCGACGTTGACACCCGACCCATGATAAGTCAAATGCAAACACGTCAATCATTAGCAACTCTTCGTATCATCGTGTATACGAAGCCCCAGGTTAGTGGCAGATGATACTCAATGATCTTCAATGTCGAAGCTTTTCTCGACAAATTCAAGAACCATGTCAACCGTGAAACTCACAGTGGAAAAATCCATTCTTATTTTTGCATTAGTCCATTTTACTCTTGCATTCTTATTTTTGCATTATGTGATTGAAACCATTTCTAGACGTCCTCGATGCACTAATTTGCATAGAGGACGCACTAATTTATTGCATGCACGGGTCGACGCCTTTTTTCTTAACCCGCAAGGAAGGCGAAGAAGAGCAGCGTCGGCAAGAGGAACACCGAGAAAGCAATAGCCTTGTCCAACGTGGTCGTGTAGAACATGGCTCGCAGAGAATACTGCTCCGTCAACAGAAAGTAGTACCTGAAAAAGGATATAGGAACTTCGAGATGAAGATAAGCCTTGTTTTTCTTTGTAAGTTTAAGTAAATTTTACATTAATATACCCTCTCTGCCACGAGTACTTATGAAGTTGAAGATTTACCTATCTTCCGCATGTACATGTAAACAACTCGCAAGATCATAATCCAACTCTTTTTTACAAGTTTGTTGGTTTTTCAGTAAGAAATCTGGGTCAAATCTCACATCCTTTCTTAGGGTCATCCCTTACCAAATCTCACTATGTTCCTTACCAGTCTTCCGCGCTAATGCCATCAATAGGCGACGGCTCTTCTGTGTGGGCCGCAAAGTCACGGTCGAGATAACCAGCTGCTCTTGTAGGATGTATATCCAGCATTGGATCAACTACTTCAGTACCGGACGAAGGAGATTCTGCAATTTCTTAGAGTAGAATAGTTAGTTACTCTAGAGTAAGGCTTTTTTACAAATGAATCTTTGGCCTATCCAAAATGCAGAAATTACAGGTCAACAGTAGAGAAGTACCACTATAGACCTAGCTACGAAAGAGTAGACTTAGCGACAAGTACAGGTCACCATTGATTACGGACTTTTTCATGCACCTGAAGAGAGAATGTTGTTGTTATCCAACAGGATGATTTCATTGCGTTCGAAAATCGTACCTTCGACTAACCACAACATTTTCTTCTATTTCACCAAAAACATCACTAGAATCAATGCTCATAATCTTTCGTTGCTTCACTTCCCTCCTCGCCAGTAGATGTAGCAACAGCGGCACCATCTGAGGCACCAATACTAGCAGGTACCGCAGTTGTATTTTTATGCTGCGCCGCAGTACTATTGTGAGTGTCGGAAGGAAGCTTGAAAAGGTCTTCGAGACAGGGATTCGCAACTATGGTGCCATTTTCGCTCAGAAAGGGCTTAGAGAAATTTGTGGACAAACACATGCATAGGTTTTGCCGGAAAAATTTACTATGAGGTGTGGTAGAATGAATAGTGCTAGACAGTACTAGAGTGCATCCTGATACATAACAGTGAAGTGATCTTCTAATCTGATATCAAACCAATGGTGTTCTAGTACCCTTAACAAACGACCTTAACAAACGAGGAACTGGTATCGCACTGAGCTGCTCGTGCTGCCTCCTCTGCCTCTTCCCTTCGTTTTTGGGCTTTTTCTGCTTCTACTCTTGCCTCCTCCTCTTTCGCTCTCTCCGCCTCCACTCGTTCAGCTTCGCGGTTTGCTCGCTTGTCCTCAAGGTCCAGAAAGTAACTCTTCGACGCCACGTCCAACTGAGCATGCTCTAGCAGCAAAGCCGCGATTCTATCACAACTCCCTTCACTTGAATTAGAAGGTGGAATAGTTTTATTAGTTAGAAGCAAGTAGCAACATTTTATATATATATATTATATTCAAGTTGTTCTAAACCCTCGTAGTAAGTGATCTTTTCATATCCTTGTAGTAGTAGAGGGAGTAGTGAACCTCTACCTGAATTATAATTACCGGTCGTGCTGGTGTTGCTTATTGATCCTTCTGAGCATTCTCTTATGCATGCATGATCGGGTCAGAATCCTTGATCACGTCGACTTCTAGAAAGCAAGTTTCGCTTGCCCTCCTGAAAATAACAAGACATTGAAAGAAGTACAACATCCATTCAACAGATGCAAACATATCAAGCCTCGTCTTAACAAAAATATCTGTATCATCTAAAAATCCTTGAACAGATGAGAAGATATCAAACCTCTCCTTAACAAAAGTATCATCTAAGAATCGACGCCAGGCAGCATTCTTTTCGAGGAAAGACTCCCTGACAAGCTTGCGCGCCGCTTCCTCTGTGTCCTCAATTGCTTGGGCGGTGAAGGCCGCGGTCTCCCAATACTTCTCCAACATGCGCGCCTCTGCTTTTGCCGAATAAACAAAGAAGAAATTAGAAGTGACTTTTCAACAAATCGCAATGCTTGAAGAAGGTGGTTGCGTTGCACCTGCGGAGGGATACTGGAAGATGTTGTAGTTTGAACTGTCGTCTCGAACGGGTACCGCACGAGAACGTAAACGTTCGTACCTCGTACACGTACGATAAGAGTAAAGAAAAAAAATCTACACGAAAATTTATCCTTTATCCCAAATAACATTCGTTCCAATTATCTAATGTACATTCCCCTGATTCATAAAATAATGCCTTGCTGCTTTGGCTGCATGCACCACGAGGTCCCAAAACGGTACGAGATATTGCTCATGAACGTTTGCCCTCAGGTAATCCTGCACTGCTTCGACATACTCGAATTGCACTAGGTCTAACACTCGTCTGCTTTGCTGTGTCTATTAGAAAAGAAATTGAAAGACAAGGCGAACAGACAAGTTGTAAAGAGAAGTAGATCTCGATGAAAATCATATTCTTAGAGGAAGACGAGAGCACATCTTCCACGATAGGCAAAACGAAGTAACAGTAAGGAGAGATACACAACAACCAAGAGATGAAGACAAAGAAAGAGTAAAAATATTAAGAGTGATGTTCCTCTCATAAACGTATCGAAACAGCAGTTTTGGTTTGCCGCATGGTGCATGAAATTGCGGTCGGGATCTGAGGAACAGATAGAATTCGTGCTCGGAGATAATGCCATCACCATTGGCATCGAAATGCGCGAAGCCGTGACGTAAAAACCGCAACTTGCTGAACCGAAACTTCTCGAGCAAATAGGCATGCAAAGTTCCAACCACGTGATCGCGGCATCCAAGCGCCGACGCCTCCGAATAAGGGACGGTCCTAGTAGGGTAGAGAGGATGGGAGTACGGGGTCCCTCATCTCCTGTGGAAGGAGTTGAGAAAAATCTACCTAGTGAAAACAACTAAGCAAACCAACGGGTACGATTTTGTGGTAGAAGATAGAATTACAATTCGTTAGAGCTACTTGCTCAAGTCACAATGTAGTTATAGTACTTTTGCACAGCTTTCAGGATCGCTTCGGATTCTGTCATTTTAGCCCAATCCTCTTCTGCCAACTCGAAACGTGTAGCGCCTTCTGCTTCTTTGTGTTCAGAAAAAAGATCGAAGCCTGCAAAGTCCTCAAGGATGGACATGTCCGCGAAGGGTGTGGAACCAGAAGTACTAGAACTATGAGTAGAGGATGGTGAATTACTGGACCTTCCGACAGTCGTATCGAAATGCTTGGCATAGGTTGATGAGTGACCTCCGGATGCTGGCATCCCGCTTGTATTAGAAGAGCATCGTCGTGCAGAGATTTTTCATCACAAGTACAGAGCAGGACACAAAAAACTATGTGGACATGAAGGACATGAAAAGCTATAGCCTCCGTCTGTATGTTGGTTCCTCCACCTCTATAATCATGATCAATTCTCATAATCGTCACTGAAGCATCGACTGATGAAGCGCTACGTGTGTTTCGGTCGTCTGGGTCGTCGCGGAGTTGAGCTTTTCGCTCGTCTAGTGCAGCAATATCATTCTCAAGCTCCCGTAGTAAAGCATGAGCATCAACTTCCCCTCCCGGCGTAGGGACAGCGGCACTAGCCGAAGTTGCAACCGCACCTGAGCGACAGTCAACAGTTTCTTGGGAAATCGACTATTGCTACAATTCAGTAAGTCAGTCAAGGAAGGTCAATGCAACCCGTCAGCAAGGCCATGTCCTTAATATACAGAGAGCCCACCACCAAGCAACGAAAAATATGATTTTGAAACCTATGATCAGAGGAAAGATGTTTCTCACTCACTTTGAAAGTTGCAAAATTTTTTTTACCAACGCCTGCTCCTCCATGTTCCGCGCCGCGGCTATACAAGGCAGTTAGCCAAAGCACTAGCCTTGACGACACAAAACCTTGACCACGCTTCATTTTCTTCATTTGTTCTTACACCTGTATCAACACTACATAAATTTATACTTTTATAAGTATTATAAGTAACCTGTAGATGATAACACTAGGTAGTAGAATCTCATGCTACATTCATAACAAATTCCACTGCAGCGAGGAGAAAAATCCAATAAAAATAAGTAGCCTGTAGATGATAACACCAGGTAGTAGAATCTAATGCTACATTCATAACAAATTCCACTGCAGCGAGGAGAAAAATCCAAGAAAAACGAATGAAACTTTTTACCTTTACGGGATTACCATGGTGACCAATGACGGAGTGAAAACCGGAAAGGAAGTGCTACTACTTCCACATCGACTTACTCAAACGTCCTTGATCTCAGACAAAATGCACAAAAAAACTAGATGGTAATGATTGACTGAAGTAGGCCTGTATCACTTTCATCCTGGCACTGCTTAGTGCGTAAGATTTAAGTACTTCCCCTTCCCTGTAAAAAAAGCAGGACGTCAAGCGATTTTCCTTTGTTTGGTTTTTTCTGACAAACTAGCGTTCAGAACAAAAATTGACTCTTTCACTCAAACGCTGCTCTTCCTAACCTCTCTCGACTCTCTCTTTCTCGTATCACTGATACAAACAACTGGGAATTTGTCCTAAGTGCAACCTATCATTAGGGACAGTCTCGTTTCCTTTTTTCATTATACCTGTACGCATCGCAGTACTTAGCATTAACATAATACATAGGCTTATCCATGATCATAGGCTTTGGCTCTTGCTTCGTCAGTGAAAATAATAAGGGACTCGTTTATCGTTCCAGCTCATGGCTCAACACGGCTTTCTTTCTTCTTCTTTCTGATGTATAAGTGACTCAAATTTAAACCAGGGAAGTCGACTGCGAAGGAAAACGAAATTGATCATTTAGACTTTGTTGAAATGAATGTACTATAGACGTAGAGCGACACCTACTCGTTACTAGCCTCTCCAGGTAGAGCCACTCCGCGAGCATCAATCACCTTCACGATAGCGGACAGAACCAGCGTAACTTGGGTTATCACGACATGGAGTCGGAGATTAGAAATTTCTTGAAAATCGATTACTAGGAGTACTTGATCATTTGTAGGTACCACCTACCTAGTAGATGTTGTTTTATGCATGATATGTAAGAGAAGTCCGATTGGTAACTAGTGGTTTGTACCAGTGGATGTCTTATGCATGATATGTAAGAGATTGCTTGACATTCTGTAGTCGATAACGAGAGAACTGCAAGATATTGTACCAAGCAATGTCTTAGAGACTCAAAAACAAGCAGCAGTACCCATTCCTTTCACCGACTACTACTCACTCACTCGTCTGCCATATTAACTAATTTTCCTGCATCTACTAAATGACCTCTACCTGAGTACTACAGACTCCTCTGCCATAACTAAATTTCCCGCATCCCCACGTTGCTGGAAGAGACTGCGAGAGTAATGCATTAGCAACTCGAAGAACTCCCAGAAGCACAGGGTTTTTGCATCACACTCCAAGTGCTTCTTGCAGATATGCTCTACCGTGTCGGAGGTCATGTTGATGATGTGCGAGGATTAGAAGCCAAGCTTGTTACACTTCTCGTCATATAAGATGTGTCCTCACAACATAAGTCCCAATCCTCTTGCAACTATTGTAGTGCTAGTGATCGGATCAAGCTTGTTGCTGGTGATTGTTTTTTCAAGCTCTCGGCTTATTCTTCGTTTTTCCAGAACACATGTTTTATCCACTTGTTTCATCCACTAGTGAAAATTTCCCCCTTGAACATAAGTCAAAGCACTTTCCCCAAGCCTGCTCAGCTCTTGCTGAAAAACGTCCGCGAACTGGTCGTCGCTGCCTTCTGTGGCCAGTTGTTTACCGTATTCGAAGACAAACTTTATTATGTCTTCTGTCAACACGCGCTCACCCAGCCCATCCACATGCTGCGCCAGAAAGGAATAGATTGAGCGGAGATCTGGTATACGTAGTTGTTGGGCGGAAAATAAGAAGGAGGATCAGTTTGTGTAATATGAGGGGTTTTTTGCAACTGCTCTATCTCTACCGGGCAGGTGCAGCGGAAAGATGCATCTTATTTGTTAGACCAGAAACGTTCCATTCTACATCTATTTCCACTTCCCTGCATTGTATGCTGGTGGCGCTTAGCCCAAAACGCTTGTAGTTCTATTCATGTCAGCAAATGCAAAATTTGTTGCCCCCTAGAAGTAATTGATATAGTACTTGGCCTCGCACGCTGGATTGCGACCAGATTTTCGTGCTGGACCGCGTCTTTTCGTAGTGGGTCTTCGTCGTACACGTCCATAACAGGTATCAGAATGTCGGTTAAAAACCTGTGTAAGTATATAGAGGAAGTTCTTGTGCGTTACATAGATTTTTGATGTCAGTCTTGGATTGCTTTACAGCTAGTTTCATTTTCTTTTATACATAGGAAAAGCATAGGTTATCAACATCTGAATCTCATTATAGAAGTCATCTCACTGCAACAATCCTCCTAGAATGGAGACCTATTAAACCAGTTGTTGAAAAACAAAAAAGCAATACCTAAGAAAATACCTAAACAATCCCTCATCTAGAGGCATTTGCTGTAGCTGTGCCGTTTTCTGCGCATTCGGATGCTCGCACATGACCCAGTGTGCGACTCGTAATATGATTTCCAGAAAGTGATTCCTCTGTAGTCGCTGTGACAAATACGGCTTACTGTCACGGACCTGTAGATGGATCGGATGGGGTCATATCGGAGCTGATAGGATACGATAGAATGGGGTAAGATAGAATACGATCGGGTTGTAGAATAGAATGGGGTAAGACAGAATACGATGGGGTAGAATACGATGGGGTAGAATACGATGGGGTAGAATGCGATGGGGTAGGATAGGATAGGATGGAGTAGGATGGGGTAGGATAGGATAGAATGGATAGAATGTATAGAATGTATAGAATGGATAGAATGGATCCACAAGTATCACCTTGTTTTGTCCTCGTAATGAGAATCAGAAGCGGCAAACAAAAAAAGACACGACTCGTCTAAATACCTGAGTCGTCTCCTGATACCACTTCACCAGTTCACTGAATGGTATTGGCATATGTTTCTTCTCCCCTCTTGGCATATTTTGTCCTTTGGATAGCAGATTTGCTTGCTGCAGCAAATGCGTAATGTCGTCCAGACCTGATTGTTGAGGATGTAAGGAAGAGGACGTACTGTAACAAGATGGAGACTAGATGGAGATTAGATGTACTGTAACAAGATGGAGATACCATTATAATTGCTCCTGTTCTAGTTTGCTGGGGTAACAGAGTCACTTCGATCATGCAAGAGAGTATTTGCCGAGTACTTGCAAGAAAATAGACAGCAGCGTTTACCTATGGTATGTTGTGTCGTGTATCAATTGCATGCGCACTCTGCGGCCTTAATACCTATTGCATGCGCACTCTGCGCCGTTAATACCTATTGTATGCGCACTCTGCGCAGTTGGGTCCTCGACAGCTAAGTCAAGCCCCATGAATGCGTAGCTATCGTAGAGGTCCACAAGGATACTGTAAAACTCCTTCAATACATCTTTCACTCGGAGCTTCATATGCGGTTCGATCCACCTGGGAAGATCGGGTGGGTGTGTATTTGTTTTAACATCAAATGGAAACGTCACTCCAAGTTACTTCTACACACTTTTCTACGTAAGTACGCCAGAAAAATCGAGTCCGTCCAACATAAGAAATCCAAATTCAAATCCAAATGTTTCTGTTTCAACATAAGCAACCATGTTTTAGTTTCAACCACAACATCCAACACCAGCACAACAACATCTCCTAGTATTTTGATTGGAGGGATAAACCTAGGACAAATATGAGGGAAATCTACGAGTACCTTAATTTCACCACAACAGCTATTAACTGTCTTCATATATTACTGTCTTAATAATATAGATTAATAATATAGATTAATAAGATACTAGTAGTTGTACCTTAATTTCAGTGTATCCCAGTCCTCGTCGAAACGAGGATCAACTTCTGCACCATCCACCGATGAGGCGGTGGAGGGTCTACTGTCTGCATCTGGTAACGGATCCGCTGCTATCGTTAAAGCTCAGCCTTCAATGGTCACTGACTCTGAACGGAAGGGACCCCCTTCAAAGCTCTCCCCTTTCCCTTCGTTTTCCCCTGTTCTCTCAAGGGGTCGCCAGTGACCAACCCCAATGACCATTGACAGCTGAGCCTTAATATCGGACACTCCCAGGGAAACTCCTCGAAATGATGACTCCCATCTTGGGCGAGGGTATCTGGAAAGTTGGATTGTAACGTAGGGGTCTTGGGCAAGGAGAGAGAACAAGGTGTTGTATGCAGGGTTGTAGCTACATAAGTACTGGATAGCGCTGAGCAAACGCGGCATCTAGAATTCGTTGTGAAGGAAGAGGCTTACAGGTTTGTCACAAAGCAATCAAAGACTCCTCTTACAGTCTGGCAGTCCCTTGCATATCGTCTCACTGCCGTCTTCTAATATGAAGTTGTATTTTGCCGACCCGGGTGGCGCACTTTTTATCGCAAGCTGAAGAGGGCATAAGGGAGCGGAGAGGAGTTTTGGAACAAAGACATTCACATTTAGATTTACATTATTTGTGCTGTAGGGCAAAAAAAAAAGTATCTATCTTTACGAACTTAACTTAACTAAACTAACTTAACTTCGGACAAAAGAGAAATGCTAAATAAAGAGGACTCTTGGGAAAACAGACACATGCTGTTTCTTTGTAGGTAGTAGTAGTAGTAGTAGTAGTAGTAGTAGGCACCCACATGAATAAGGATTTTTGAAGCGTTTTCTAGTCGTGTTAAGGTCCTAAAAAAAAGCACAAAAATCCACAGCAACAATCTAGAAAGAGGACGAGCATCCAGCAAAAAAGGAGGCCAAGAAGGACACAAAAACGAGGGAAGGTCGGGCAGATTCCACCGAGAACCGAAGCCATTGAATCGAGAACCGAGTCCATCCATGGAGAGCTCTCATAGGGTGCAGCCCTATACTTCTGCGCTTTGAATCGAGAACCGAGTCCAGCCATGAAGGTGTATAATAGAGGGCGCCCCTTTATCTGTGCGCTCTGAATCGAGAACCGGGCCCAGCCATGGAGATGTATAATAGAGGACAGCCCTATATCTGTGCGCTCTGAATCAAGAACCGAGTCCAGCCCCGGAGTGAGATGTATAAATAATAGAGGGCGGGCCTTTATCTGTGCGCTCTGAATCGAGAACCGAGTCCAGCCATGGAGATGTATAATAGAGGACAACCCTATATCTGTGCGCTCTGAATCGAGAACCGAGTCGAGCCATGGAGATGCATAATAGAGGACAACCCTATATCTGTGCGCTCTGAATCGCGAACCGAGTCGAACCATGGAGATGCATAATAGAGGAGAACCCTACATCTGTGCGCTCTGAATCGAGAACCGGGTCGAACCATGGAGATGCATAATAGAGGACAGCCCTATATCTGTGCGCTCTGAATCGAGAACCGAGTCGAACCATGGAGATGCGTAATAGAGGAGAACCCTATATCTGTGCGCTCTGAATCGAGAACCGA